GTGCAAATATGAGATGTAGGCATACTTAATCATTAGGCTTTTAAAATATATGCACATGGCTAGTTACATTTTGCAGATGATATGGGCTTGGATCACACTCTCCTTTAATAGGCCTTTGAGATTCATTTTTAAAAGTTCAAATGGTCAAATGATCCAAAAAAAAAAAAAAAAAGCAAACCAGAGGAGACCCACAGAGATCCAAAATACATCCCTGAAAATGCAGCACCTTTTGTATGAACTACATCAGGGGCCCGTTACATAGTGTATGGATTGTAACATCAGAGACCTGAAAGCTGCCAAAGCAAACGGGGCATCTTGTCTGAGAGAAAAAGAATGAGAAGAAAGAGAAGTAGGGAGAAGAGAAGAGAAGGAAGGAAGAAGCGGGGAGATGGAGACAGAGAGAGTGATTGAAAAGAAAAGCCGGGAAACCTGCCTCTGTGGCTTCTCTGCATCAAGCAAGTGAATCATCTCTGGGTAATTGACAGCACGTATTAAGCCAAGGATGGACCATCAAGGTTGTAATTCACAATCGTAGAACCGAAATCTATAGCTACCTTACAAAATGTCCATGGAATTCTAGTGACTGGATTAAACAAAAAGAGCCAGGTTCTGTGCTTTGCACATTTTCGGCTAGCCAGGAGCTTTGCCTCAGGGTGTAATTCCAAGGGAGAGCGAGGCTTCCTCTTGGCGGTAAAGGAGCAGCTTGCAAAGATGTGGACTCAGGGTCTCAACTCCTAAAAATCCTAGTGGTCAGCATGTTTTGCTTGGGACCCCATTTCAACCTCCAAACCGGGAGGCTCTCCCCTGAACGTAACTCTCCCCCAAAGCCAGAACAGGCTGCCCCAGAGCCCCTAGTCAGGGATGCCAGGAGAGAGACTGTCTTTGAACCCTCTTGCGAGTTTGGAGATGTGTCTTTCCCAAACGGAGATGCTCTTTTCTGTAAAACAGATTCCGGTGTCACAGGAGCCAGATGGCTGGGAGCCCGGATTTGTTTCTCAGACTTGAAGTGACCTCAGATGGGGCAACCTGACTTTATGCTTGTCACAGCACCACCAAAGGCCAGGGTTCCTAGGGTCCCAAAGAGCACACGAGGAGATATCAGAGTCAGAAATACGCCCCAGACTGTCTCGTGCATCGAATTTGAGCTACCACAGTTATTTTCCACTTCTGTTTCCTCTCCCTCATCAGACGGTGGTGAAGTGTGCTGCAGGAGGGGGTGGGTGATGAAACAATCTTCTATTTACAAAAAAAATGAAGCTCAAAAGTCTAAAAATTCCTCATGGATAAAAAAAAAAAGAGTTCTGCCCTTGTACTCCCATACCCGTGGACTGGGGACACCTCACACTCTACAAAGCCCCGCATCACGCAGCTCACGGTAACCTGCCACCTGACTGGGGCCGACGTACTGAGTCCTGTTTCCTAGATGAAGAAACTGAAGCTCTCTCTTGAGGCCACACAGCTTGCAAAGGGTAAGGAAAGCTGGAATTCAACCCCGGCCACGTCCCACACTGTGTGGCTGTAGCCAGACAGCACCACACTGACCACTGACTCTGGGAAGCAGGAGACAGGCATCCGCGTCTTCACTGTTGTGCGGTCTCTGCTTGCGGAGCATCCCCGGGAGCATCCTCGTTAGACGGAAGACCGATCTTCACCTGGCTTTCCAGTTGGCTGAGACGCTGCTTCACTTTCATCTGGGTGGCGTTGTACTCAGCCAGGAGCCGTGCAAACCTGGTCTGCAGGGTGTCCAGGGAGGACTCCAGGTGCTCCACCTTCTCCTCGATGTCCTTGGGGTCCGCCCCAGCCTTGGCCAGTTCCTCGTCGATCAGGTTGTCCTTCATCAGGATCTGCCGTCCCTTCTCCTCCAGCGCCTTCTTGGCCTCAGGGTACTCGGTGAGAGCCTCCATCAGATCGTCCTTGGAAAGGCAGAACAGGTCCGAGTAGCCAATGCTCCTGATGTTGGCCGTCCGGCGGTTCCCTGACTTGCTCCCTTTGATGTTCAAGATGCTGATCTCCCCAAAGTAACTCCCGTCACTGAGGACCACGAACTGGGTGACCCCGTCCTCGGCCACCACAGCCAGCTTGCCCTCCTTGATGATGTACATCTCCCTCCCGATGTCCCCCTTCTTGCAGATGTAGTCCCCGGGGCTGAACACTGCCGGCCGCAGCTTCAGCACCAGCTCCACCAGCAGCCCCGCCTCGCAGTCCTGGAAGATGCGGACCTTCCTCAGAGTGTCCAGGTGCACGTTGATGGCGATCTCAGCCTTCAGCTTGTCGGGGAGGCTCTTGAGCACCTCCTTCTCATCCACCGTCTTCTTGTTGGCCCACAGGTAGTCAAACCACCGGATCACCCGCGTCTCCAAGTCCTTGGTCACCTTGCGGAATTGCATGTACTGCTTGATGGAGTCAATCTTAGCCTGAAACTCGGCCCGGGAAGCATTCATGTTCGAGATCATGGAACCCACGTTGCCCACGATGGTGGCAAAAATCAGGACGCCCACCAGGAAGTCTATGACCACAAAGAGATACTCCTCGTCCTTCACTGGGGGTGGGGTCTCACCGATGGTGGTCAGGGTCAAGGTGGACCAGTAGAGACTGTAAATGTACTTCCTGGAGAGGCGCCCATACTCTGGGATTGAGACGTTTGGGTAGACCCAGGAATCGGTCCCGAAGCCAATGAACTTGGAAATGGCAAAGTAGATGCAGGCATTCCAGTGGATGATGATGAGGATGTACAAGACCAGGTTCCCGATCCTGAACATGTTGGGGTAGTTGGTCCGCGTCTCTGTGCGGTCAAAGAACTCGAAGAGCCGGGCCAACTTCAGGAGGCGGTTGAACCTCAGTTCCGGGTAGTTCATGCCCAGCTTAAAATAAGCCAGGTCCGTGGGGACCAGGGACAGCATGTCCAGCTTGAAGTGCAAGGTCTTTGTGTAGTGCTTCCACAGCCTGTCGGCATCGGTGACCATCAAGCCTTGCTCCAGGAAGCCTAGCGAAGAAGACAGAGATCACCTGGGCATCAGAGAGGCTGCCTGCTGTGGGGAGGGCACAGCTCAGTGGCAGAGCACATGCTTAGCATGCACAAGGTCCCGGGTTCAACCCCCAGGACCTCCATCAAAAAAAAAAGAAAAAAAAAAAGAGGCTGCCTATTCATGACCATGGCCCACAGAAACACATTCTACCTCGAGACTACATGACGTATAATTATACGTATATAACAGAAACAACCTCAAAAAAACACAGTTACCCCTACTGCAGGAAACGGACTCTGGTATCTTCCATTCAATGATGTTCTAATCTATTTCATTCAATTAAAAACATAGCTCAATTGGGTAAATTTGCATGTGGATTGGGTATTCATTGGAAGTGGGGAATGATTATTAAATTTTCAGAGACAAACGGAAGTTATATTTTTAAAAAGGAGTCCCTTAAAATTAAAGATACATGCTAACATGTTTACTATCTAAGATTTGCCTTAAAAAACTCCATCCAAGAACAGGGTGTGGGAGGAAAAAACGAAAGAAAATTAGCAAATGTTGATAACGGTTGGAGCTGGGTTGGGGGGCGGATTCATATTACTACCTTCTCGGTTTTGTATATGTTAGAAAATATTAATAATAAAAATTTTTAAAACACTGGTCATGGACTATTGAATTGGCTTCACCAGTCACTAGTGGGGCACGACCCATCTGTTTAAAACCTGACTCAGGGGCACAGCAGTTCTTCCTGGCTGCACAATACTGTCACCCAGGGGGCTTTTAAAACATATGAGCCTGGGGCCCACCCCCTGGGACCCAGCCTGTCTGGGGATGGACTGGACCTTGGGAGTGGTGAGGTGTTATTACTGGCAAAATCAATCAAATAGGCCATAATCTGCCATCTCTCTGCACAACAGGAGAGAGATAATACAACGGAGGCGCTTTAGATTCAGGTGAGCATCGGAACCACCCCGAGGGCTCTGTAAGACACAGAGTGCTGGGCCTGTCCCCAGACTTTGGTCCCATGGGTCTGGGGCACCTCTGACAACGCTCGGGTGATGGCTGGTCCAGGGCCACACTTTGAGGCTGGACTGAGGTAGGGCTGCCCCCTCTGTGAAAAGCAAACAGCAAGTTTGTTGTCACATGTTAGGGACACCCTGCTCCCCAGCCCCCATTCCCTGTTTCATACTTTGGCTACATGGTGTTTATTGAGTGCCTAGATCATGACATGGCACTCTCGTGCATTGGGACCCCTCGCTCCTTCCTTAATAATCTTCCCTCAGTTCTGATGGTTTTTCCCCTTGGAGTATGATCCATGGCCTCTTGGTGTCTGCCCTCCCCTGCCCGCTTCACCTCCCGCTCTCGCTGCATCTTATGTTGCCAGGGACAGCAGTAAGCACAAAAAGGAGTGGGGTCAACGTCTGAGTGACAGTGGCCTGTCCCTGAAGCCTGAGTGAAGCAGGGGGTCACTCCAGTCAGTTGACCACTTGCAGGGCTCTTTTATCTCCACAGGCTCACGTGACTGTGGAGCAGCAGACCACCAGGGCTGGCCGAGTCACCCATACAAGCCTCAAGCTGTGCTCTTGAGATCTTCTAAGTCATGATGCCGGGCACTAATTCAGGAGCAGAGGGGGTGCCCGTCTGGCCTGCTTGGTGGTGACCATGGACTTTGGGCCCATCACTCAGCATCTCTCGGCCCCCAGTTTCTAAGGCAGTAAGATGGAGATAATCTTGCCCACATTTCTGGTCTCACCGAACAGTTCTGATGAGAAGAGAAGTGCTTGGAATGCTCTGTACACCATGAAGCCACCTGGAAGTTTTGATGTTTATATCCACCACCATGACAAGGTTTTTGTTTAAAAATCTTGAAAGTGGTAAGTAGAGCTTTACCAGCTTATGTGATATCTTTATGCAAATTAGGAAAAGGAACCCTAAGGATGCACAGCTTGGAGCCTGAGGCATGAGTGGGGCTTTAGCCCCTGCTCACAACCAGAAGTGATCGTGAACTTGGGTTCTTGGACTCTTTAATCAGTAGAAATTGATAAAAAGCCAGAGGAGGAATTCAGGCGAGGCTTTACTGAGACTCGCGCTGCAGCAGAAGGGAGCGAAAACAAGCGACAGGTGCCCTTGTTTGTTACCAAGGCAAAGGCAAGCTGGTCCTTTAAACGGGGTGAGGGGAGGGGTGGCTTAAGTGGTCTGCGCCTACATGTAGTTATTCTCAGTCCCTTGCAGTTTCTTTGTGTTCTGTTCAAGATGTTCATTCAGTTGCAGGTGCAAATGCTCCAGTAGAGGGTCCCAGGTCCCAGCGTATCTTCATTTGAAGGAAGTCATCCTGTGCCCAGGCCCTGTTTCAGATTTTATTTCTCCGCCTACTACAACTCCTCTCAAAGCCATGGGGTAACATGTCCTGTCTTCTCTGATTGCCCAAGAAGAGGAACTCCCAAGGCTCCCGTTCTTGATCTCCCTGAACCCGCCCGTGGCCCCCAGGTCCCCCTCCGGATGTACCAGGGAAGACCCTAGCCCCACGCACACTCACCTGTCCGGGCTCGCACCAGCACGTCCAAGCCATAGAGGACGTCTGCCGAGTAGTCCAGGACCAGCCAAAGCATCAGGTGCTCGGACTGAAGCTCATCAAAACAGGCCCTGAACAAGCACAAGAAGGGGCAGGTGTATCTGGGGCAAGGTCCAACGCAGGCAGCAGCTCTGTGCTGCAAGCCCTGGGTCACTTCATCCCACTAGCAGCCCTGCCTGCAGGGCGTGTACCCCCGTGTCATCACCCCAGGCTCTGATAAGGAGATCCAGACTCTCCAACTTCTCTCTCCCGAGGTCACAGAGCTCCTAAGAGGAGCCGGGATTGACCCCAAAGAGTGGCCCTGTTGCCTCTCAGCACTCAGCTCCAAGACCCCAGTGGGGGTGAGGGTGGAAGTTTCCAGGCCTCAGCGGGCTGAGAACTTGCCCTTTCTGGGGCCAAATGCCCCCCAAAGATACAACAGTTTCTGAGAGATTAACAACAGAACAAGCCGCATCGACCTCACAAAGCAGCAGCTCACTCGCCGTCTCGGTCCTGCAGGCCAGCTGGGAGCAGCCGGAGCTGGCCCCGCAGCCACCCACGGCAACAGCGCGGAAAGCCCTCAGCCCACGGCTCGCAGCAGGGAACGCCGCCTCTTGCCCGCATCCCTATCCTGCAGGTCTGCTCAAGAATGACCCAGCCCCTCCCACGTCTTCTCTGAGAGCAGCAACTCCATTAAAAAGTCTCCAAGGTGCCCGGATCCTTGTTTGGATCTCTGACACGGGTCCCCACCAGTGTTCCCGGGAACCCGGGCAGCCCTCTCTCGGGCTCTCCTTGTAAACAGAGAAACGGAGACACATACAGCAGGATGGTGGCCTCGAGGGGACCCAGAGGTCTGTCTTGAGGCCAGGCTGCCCTGACTCCCTTCCACCGGCTCCCCCTGCCCCTCAGGGTGGAAGCACCCCCCACGCCCCGACCTGCACACGAGCAGACACCAGTTGTAGAAGACAGGCGTGGCAATGACGGTCAGCCAGCGGTAGTACATGTTGCTGGACGGGTCCACCACGACGGAGTCCTTCTTCTTTCTAGAAACATCAACACACAAGCAGCACAGTGTGTTGGAAGAGCACAGCTTTGGAGGGGCTCAGACACCTGGCCCAGCTTAGAGACCCTGGGGCAATTACAGGCTGAAGCTAAAGAGATGGCTGTCCCAGACAGGGTGCTGTCAGTCTCGGGGGGGGGGTCACATGGGTGTCCCTGGATGGGTGCCCCCACACAGGCTGGGAGCAGGGCAGCCTCTGGGGGGCCCTCCCTCCCAGCTCAGCTCCCTAGGAAGCCACGATGGACTATAAAACCACGGGGATGACATTCCCACGTGGTATCATCCTTGCCCTTCAGGATGCAGGGGAGGAGCGTGGAGCATGGTGATGTTGGAACCATCTCGGGGAGCTTTGTGAAAATGCTGGTTCCCAGGCCCCCCAGCAGCACTCCGGGGCCTGGGAGTGTGCACTTAACCATCACCCTGGGTGGTGCTGACGCAGCTCCTCTCCGGACTGACCCTGGGAGCCCCGGAGCACTCCCTTGAGAACGCTCTCTCTCCACCCCACTAACTGCAATTGTGCAGATGTTCTAAAGACTCATTTCCAAGCCCTGGGATCCTGCCTCTCCATCAAAACCCACCACCCTGGGAGTCACCTGGGTGATGTCGGCCAACACTGAACGGAAGAAATAGCTCAGGGAGCTTCCTGGTTTTATTTGCTGGGTTTTTGGAGGATTTGAGTTTATAGGCAGTACTGGAGATCTTTTCTTTGGGTCCATGTGTCTCCTCCCCCCACCCCACCTGCTCCCCCTGCCCACCCAGGCCGGCAGAGCTGCTCCCACGCCCCAGAGGAGACCCTGGGGTGCCTTTCTGCTTTCACCCCGACTCAGCAAGTGCCAGATCAGCTGCTCACTGACAGGGCTTTGGAAGTGCCCAACACTCATCACCACGGGCCTTGGATTAAAGTTTGTGAATACAGTATTTTCTAGTGCCCAGAAGGCCTCCGCTTAACCCGACGGTGCGGACAGCTGCCTTCTGGCAAACAGAACGCCCCGGGGGAGGGCACCGGAGCAGCCTCCCAGGGAAGCCCCAAACGGCTCACCCGAGGCTGGGGACAGCCTCCCAGCCTGCAGCCCGTCTTGGGTCACCCGAGCTGGGGCTGGACTCTCCCCACAGAACAGGCCCCTCGTGTGGTCTCAGGAGGCCTGATCCCCGCCAGGTCCGACCCCTTTCCCACACATGCTAAGTCCTGACGGCACCCCTCTCCTCCCCGGGGAGGGGCCGGCCCGTGGTGACCACAGAACCCCCTCTTCGGGGGCAGTTTCTCTCAGTACTTACTCCTCTTTTTTGGGGCAGTTTTCTTTTTTCTCTTCTTCCTTTTTCTCTTTCTCCTCCTTTTTCGCCTTGTCACTGGATGACACAGGGTGACATTCAGCACTTGTGACACACCAAGGTCATGCCCGAGGAAGAGGGCAGGCCACGGGGGGGGGGGCGTGCTGTGGGAAACGGATCTTTCCAGCACACTGGGATGAAATGAAGTTACTGATCTCATTATTGTCATTATTCCTGTAAGGTGAGATAAACCACCTCCACTGAAGTGTACATTGTAAACACTGAAGTGTGCATGGTGGTTCAGTCTAATATTCTAGGATTTCCGACCTATTTTCATGAGTCGCTTGGAAGCCACAAGCAGCTTGAGACTGGAGACCTTTTGATGTAACAGGAAATAAACCCAAATCTACACCTTTTGGGTGGAAAAATCACTCAGAATCACATGGAAAGCTCTTTGTTCTGAGGAACAAAGGACTTTCTGTTGTTCTGGGTCAAATGAAACCCTGGCCCTCGACGAGGAAGCCAGGGGACAGAAAGGAAGCAGAGCCCACAGGCAGGACGGGTGGGCCATGTTGTGGCACATCCTCGCATCATCTGAGGCCAATGCAGCCACACTCGGACGCCTCCAGACTTCGCTGGCTGTGACGCTGTGGGTGGAACCGGGCCCCCTGCCTCCCTCTGCAGAGCAGGGCCTGTGAGGGCAGATGTCTCCTCCGCACACAGCTTTGCTCCGTGTGTCCTTCCTGGGACGCACATGGCGACGAGGGTTACCTAGCCCTAGTTAGAGGGGTTCTGCCGGGCGGGCGTTACTGCCCACCGATCTGCTGAGGAAACCCCGCCTGCCGCGGGGCCTCCCCGGTCAGATTCCCCTGCTCACACCCTGGAGGAGGGAAGGGTTGAGAATAAGTCCTAATTAAACACTTGTCCACGAAGACCAGGACGCTTCTTCAGGAAATAATCAGAGACGTGAGCAAACACGCCAGGAGCACAATCACCACCATCATTCCTGACAGTCAGCGCGTAAGGGATCCGGTCACACAACAGAGGAGATTCGCCATCTGCCGCGGAATTCCGCGAGGCCACTTACAACGGGCTTGGGGAAGCATATTCAGTGACGGGGGGAATGCACCTCGTATTTTGCTACAGTAGAAAGCAGACTACAACATAGCTGTACACGTTTTCTATCGCTGCCAGAACAAACTGCCATAAACTTTGTGGCTTAAAGCAGCCCAAATGCATTATCTTTCAGATCCGTAGGTCAGAGGTTTGACAGGGGTCTCACCCAAGTCAAGCCAAGGTGACGGCAGGGCTGTGATCCTTGCTGAAGATGCTATGGCAGGATCTGTTTCCTGCTCATTTGATTTGTTGGTGGAATCCAGTTCCTTGCAAAAGGGGGACAAATATCCTCATTTCTTGCTCGCTGTAAGCAGAGGCATTCCCAGCTTTTAAGGGCTGCTGCATCCTTGGTTCACTGTCCTTGGTGCCCTTCCTCCATCTTCAAAGCCAGCAACAGCAGGTTGAGTCCTTAAGACACCAGCTCTCTAGTTCTCTGCAGCTGGGAAATGTTCTCCACTTTTAAGGATGTCTGAGATTAGATTGGGCCCACCTTGATAAATCCAGGCTAATCTCCCCATCTCAAGGTCCTTACACTTAATCACATCTGCGAAGTCCCTTTTGCATGTAGGATAACACTGTCACAGGATGTGGGGATTAAGACTGGGGGCATCTAAGAGAATCACTGTTCTACCTACTACGGTCATCACTGGCCCTCAAAGATTTGCACATATCCTATGGGCAAAATGACTTCACTCCCACCCCAAGATCCCTCAGCCTCATTCCATTACAGCATCAACTCAGAGTCCAAATAAATCATTTAAGTCTCAACAGCTCAGAAGTCCCAAATCTCATCCAAATGTGTGGACCGTGGTGTGAGTCATTCTACACACAAGTCCTTGCTACCTGTGGACCTGTGACATTAAAGAAACAAATCATCTCCAAAAACACAGTGGAGGGGCTGGCATGGGATAACAGATGCAGATATTCCAGTTCAACAAGGGAGAAGATGGGAGGACCAAAGGAGTCACTGGTTCCAAGCAATTTTGAAATTCAGCAGGGCAATTGCCACTGTTTCGAGACCTAAGACTAATCCTCTGTAGTTCATGGCTCCGCCCTCTGAGCCATCCTTCCATTTTCTTGAAAAGGTAGCACCTGTGTGTAGCTGAGTAGTTTTATCAGCCTGCTTCCCTCATCTAGAATTTAGGGGTCCAAAATTCTTCCTTTGTTTGTACTGCTTCTGTCCCTTCTGGTCCAAGCTGGCAGTGTTTCTGCTGGTCTAAAACCTTCTAGAAGTTTATGTGTCCCATATACCAGAGGGGTTCACTCCACTACACAGGAGGCTCATTCACAGATGATCTGAGAAATCTCATCTCTGTGTTTGCTGAGATGGCCGAGGGGAGCCATACATCACACCCTCAATCTTTTCAGGGGGTCTTTTATGGGACTGAACCCCCAGAACTTTGGATCTTTCTGAATTATTAGCAAAAGTTTAGCCATACCCTCAGCTTTTTCCCCAAGGCACACTTTCCTGCCAGTAAGTTTTAAAAACTTAGTATCTTTTGCCATTTGAGCAGGCTGAGAATTTCCCAAATCATCATGTCTTGTTTCCTTTTCATTTAACAGTTCTTCCCTCAACTTCTCTCTCTCCTCTCAAGTTTCACCATAAGCAGCAAGAATAAACCAGGCTGCACCTTCAGTACTTTTGCTTGGAAACATCCTCAGGTAAATATTCAAATTCACTGCATACAAGTTTTGCTGTCTGCATCCTTGCAGGACATCACCCCGCTCAGCTTTGTGTCACTCAACAAGCGTCCCCTTTCCTTCGGTTTTCAATAGCTTGAAACTCATTCCTTAAGAGCCCTCACCAGCAGCGTGCCTAAAGCCCAGATTTCTACCAGTAGCCTGTTTCGACCATTTAGGTATTAGGTATGTAGGCGAATTAGGTTTTCTCTGTAAAGCTCCCCATTTCCTTCTGAACCCTCACTGATAGAGTCTTTAATATCCATTTGTTTTTAACAACCTGTTCAAAGCAATCTTGGCAAAAATCAAACAAACACTCTCCTTAAATTTCTCCTCGATCCTGCCTAGTGATCAATTCCAAAGCCCATTTCCCACTTGTCATAGCAACAGCCCACTTCTGGGATAGAAAGCTGTGTTACTAGTTTTCTATTGTTGCTATAACAAATGACCGCAAATGTAGCATCTTAGAACAACCCAAGTTTACCATCTTACAGTTCTGGAGATGAGAGAAGTCTGGTATAATCTGACTGGATGAAAATCAAGGTGTCATCCAGCTATGTTCCTTTCTGGAGGCTCTGGGGGAAAATCCATTTCCTGCTCCCTGGGATTGATGGCAGAATTCAGTTTCTTGAAGTTGAGGACCAAGGTCCCTGTTTTGCTGCTGGCTGGAAGTGGAGGGCTACTCCTGGCTTTTTGAGGCTGCTGCGTCCCTGACTCATGTCCCTCTTGCTTCATCTTCAAAGCCAGCAGTGATGGGCTGAGTCTCTCTCCTTCTCCTTCCATCTCCTGCCCCTGATCTACTCTCTTACCTCCAGCTTCTGCTTTTAAGAACTTACGTGAGTACACTGGGGCCACCTCGATAATCCAAGATAATCTCTCCATCTGAAGGTCCTTAATTTAGTCACATTTGAAAAGTCTCCTTTGCCTCGTAAGGTAATCTGCTCACAGGTTCCAGGGATTAGTATGTAAATATCTTTGGCGGCGTTGTGGTTGTGAAATTATTCTGCTTCCCACACTCATCAATATGTATTGATCGTTTACTATGTACCAGGCGCTGTTGGAAGCACTTCACATTGGTCTTAATACAGCTCTGTAAGTAAGACACCAGTTACAATCCCTATTTTACAAGTCGGGAAACTGATGCACAGAGAGGTCAAGTAACTTGCCCAAGGTCACAAAGCTCTTAGGTGGCCGAGTTGGGATACAAAAGCTCTTAACCAGGACATATATTAAATATATTGCATCTATCTGTCTACCAATCTGTCATCTATCTTTTCAATGTAGATACCTGGAGAAAACTTGGAGGGACATTTGCCATCACGTTAAGAGGGGTTGTCTCTGATAATGGGGTTCAACTGTTAATATAAAGTGTACTTTTTGCGAATGTATGCTCGTGGGTGTTTTTCTGTGTTTTTCAAGTTTTTGACAAGAAGTATATTAATAAATTGAGTAATAAGAAGTTTTTCGGATCATTAACTGAGAAGAGCATCATCCCCTGTTCTCTTGAATCCACTGGTCTTTCTGGCACTGAAGTCTTAATGCCAAGACACCAGCAGAGGGCACTGCCCACGAGCTTATGGGCCCACACAGCCCTGCTGGGAATTAATGACACCCCACTCTGCCACTCTTGTTCAGGATTTGTGGCCCCAGGTTACAAGCTTTGGCCTTTCCTCTGGCTACCAACCTGCTGAGGGCCTAGGAAAGACCCCTCGCCATCCAGCTGTGCCCCCAAATCCACCTAGCATTGCCCCAGGGAACCTACCCCAAGCTATAAAACGATAATGGTTTTGGCTGGGAGAGTTTGATTGGGAGAAAGAAATTATTCAGGACCCATGAAAATGCCAGAAAATGACAGAAATGTGATGGAAGGATGGGAGAGGGTGTTCATAAGAATTATTTCTGTATCTCTATGCCCAGGTGGCCTCATTTTGGGACAATCCCCAATTCTGTCCCTCGGTCCTTGGCTGCAGTGTGGACCTATGATATGAACCCAACTGAAAAGATTTATAAGAGCCTGATGCAGCCGATGCCGTCCACTCTCACCCTTGCTCACATCCCAGCCCCAGGACAAAGAAGCCTGGGGACCCACAGGACCTCTGTCCATGGTTTCTGGGGCCAGAGCCTTTGCCTGGCTGCAGGACTCAACACGAGGTTTCCAAGGGGGTTTAATATCAGGTTTGCCTTTAAATCCAGCACATATTGCAATAGCTATGGTTTCTCAGGTTCGGTCATTTCATTTTTCTTGATTGTTGGCATCTGGGTCTTTGGATTTGATGTTCAAACTTATGTAAACAACATGCAGCTATGGTTCATGGAGGGAAATAGAAAAATGTTCTATCCGAGGAACAAAGAGAAATAAGAAAAGGCCTCGATACGTTTCTGTTTCAACTGGAGCTGTAGAAATGGGCCTTTCTCACTGATATCGATGGTTTTTCCCTAAGCTCCAACTGAGACCCCCTCTCCAACCTCCCCCCACGGCGGTTCCATAAAGGGAGGCTGGAGAACGGGGTGTGCATGCACACGCACTCACACACACGTGTGATCGCATGCACGCACACTCCCTCCCTGGGCTCTTGGGTGGCCTTTGCCAGAATCACACATCAGACCGCTCTGCCAGCTCAGCAGCAGGTGGTGGGAGTAACTACAACGGGTCACCGTTTCAAGAGGCTACTCTCTGGAAATATTTAAATTTCCTTTTTCTACTAGCCTGATTACATCCTGCAAACTGGCCTGAATTAGCCTTATGACAAGGGCATTTCGCTGGCACACAGGAGTCTGAGGATGTAGGATGGAAAATGCATTCTCATCATGCAAGAGAACACACACTGTAAAGGGACTCCAGCTTTGCACTGTCCAATGTAGAGCGATAGACAGTGCTCGTGCTGAAAACGTTGATCCGATCCCACCCCTTCGCTTTAGAGATGATGATAAGGAGAGACAGAGAGAAAATGACTTGCCCAACGAAGTCACACAGGCCAGGTCCCACCCCCTGCTTGTCCACGGGGATGGATTTCCAGTAAAAGGAGCAGGAGTCTAGAATGGTCTAGAGGGGCTTGGGGAAGCAGCGGTACTAAGCTGGGGTGTCTACGGGGAGCGGGGTGGCCACCGGGAGCGGAGGGCGAGTGGGGCTCTGCTGGGGAGCAGAGGTACTCACTCCTTCTCGGAGTTGTTGCAGGTGTTCGTATTGTTTCTGGCCAGGGGCCAGTCACTGCGGGAGGTAAAAGAGCGCAGCGTGGGAATCTGAGCTCAGTGCCATTGCAGGGGACCCCTCGCCCCAGGCGGTTATTCTGGGACTCCCACCCCTGTCTCCCGGGTCTTTCCACACAGCTTGAAGAACAGAGGGAGTTGTTATCATCCAGGACATCTTTGTAGTTATCTTTGTGACGACGAAGCCCTGGTGAAAGTCTTGGGGGAAGAGAGGATGAGCACTCAGGTAAACTGAGGCTTCTGAATAAACAGGGAGAAACTCTTTGGATCCCACCCAGCATCCTAGCCTCAAACGCGTCTCAGTTTCCGTCAGTTTAAGCCTGTGCCAGGCAGCATGCCAGGTGCTGCCATGGGGGGCACGAGCGCCTTTTACCAGAGTGGACACGCTCTGCAGAGACACGACTCCCACGGGGCCCCTCCCTTGGCAGCCCCATCACAGGGGCCGCTTCCAATACTTGGGGCGAAAAACAGACCGTGGGCAGAGCTGCCCCGGGTTCCAGTCTATCCTCCTCCGTCCCCTGCTCCCACATTCATCTTAAAACTTCAGGGTCTGCCACCCTAAATCCATGGGAGAATCTGGCAGAAGATAGAGGCTGGTTTCCAACCCAACTCTTTACTTAAAGCCGGCCTGGGCAGTACTTGACGACGTTCTTTAGGAAAAGGTGTGATCTCCCCAAGCTCAACTGCCAGTCCACGTGTTTGACAGCTGGTTTAAGTCTGGCCTCACAGAGCTGGAGGGTGGCCTGCCTGTCCATGGTCACTGCAGATCATACACAGCACTGGAGGCCCCGGGGACTAGAGCCGGTGGCTGGTGACACTCCAGCCTGACTCTCAGGGCACTTCTTCCATGATGCTGAACATCCAGCCAAATGCCTCTGTGGTACTTCTGCTCCCCGCCGCCAGAGCCTCCCTCTCTGTATCCAGGGTGTGGCTCTCACTGCTTGTTTCAGGATTGGTTTTGAGCGCCTGAAAATCCCCTGGGGAATCAAAATTCCCGTGTGATTATGAGGAAAGCTTAGCTCTCAGGGGTGCAGTGGCCCAGGTTTGTCACACACCTGAGCCCATCATCTCCTCAGGCCAAATCCACAGGAGAACTAAGACCCAGCTCTGCATATGCTTTGCTTTGCTGATGGGACTTGGCCTTCAAAATTCAAGGTCTTCTTCCCCTAGGAAGTCTCCCTGATTGATCAGCTCCCATCCTGCACCACTGCATTCACCTGCCCACTCTGAACCTTCTAGAGAGTGACCTGGCATTAGTGGTATAGTCGGGGACTGGCCCTGATGGGGTTCTAGCTCAACTCTCCACTCACCTGGTCCCATAGGGAAATGGACAAAGTCTAACGTTCCTCTCCATCAGTGTAAAGTTGTAGAGAAGACAGTTTGGTCAATTAAGCCAAGAAAGTCTTTGCTTGTCCAAAAGGAACTGAACCACCTTGGCTGGCTTGCTGGCAAACCTCCCTCCCTCTCCTCCTCCTCCTCTTTATCCATCTTCTCTTCTTCCTTAGCCTCCATCCCTCCTCTCTCTGACTCAGCAGTGCACAGCATGTGGGCCTCGTGGTCCTGGAACTCCCTCACAGCCTGGGATGCCTGGCCCTGGGAATCTGGGGTGGCCCAACACACGTCCAGCCAGCACCCAGGCCCTCCAGGATTCCCCTCCCAAGCCTAGGGAGCCTGAGGGTCTATAGTCAAAGCTCATGTGCAGTGGGAGCCCAAGAATGCAGCTCCAGTGGGTCCTCGCCTCTCAGCCTGCAATTCTCATGCCTCCCCCCGGCACAGAAGACTGATATGGGTCTCCTAATGTCACTAGCAAGGACTTTCTTTGAATTCTCATATTTTATCTTAAACATGTTTGCATATTTTATACATTTCACAATGCACTGCATAACCTATGATAAAAATTACCCGCACCCCAAGATGGAAATGAAACCGAAGCTCCAGGAGGGTCCGTCCTGCTCCCTCTGAGGCTTCATGGCCTTCACTCCCCAGGGGCTCCCTTGGCCCATATGAGGCGCCCACATCTGAGTGTTTCGGTTCATTTGACATCAAAACAGACAGCATTTTCTCTTGTAAAGTATATAGGGACTGTCTGTTCTGCAACAATCATGTTCTTTCCACTCTCTCCATCTTCTAAACCCTGGCATTACCTAGAGAATTTGGCCAAAAGATCTTTTTCAAGACCCCTTTTTCAGAGGGCAGGTTCTGAGCCAGAGTCCTCCTGCTTGTGAGGCTGAGAGGAGGTCTGTCCCCTGCCCGCCTCTCCTCTCCCCAACTGCCCGCGGTCCTAACGAGACCCTCTGCTGATCAGCAGCAATTAATTCACCCAGTGGTGGCCAAGTGGTCTCCCCACTGACCGCAGGCTTGGGGGACTTCTCAACAGCAAGAGAGGAGGGAGCAGACAGCTCTGTGTGTGGGGCGGGGCAGAGTGAGGGGATGTCAGCCCGTCGCCCGCAGATTTCTCTACACCTCCGCGCCAGACAGCACCGGCCACAAGCTCGCACTGGGCTCGTGGGCTATGCGAGGGGCGCAGAGCTGGCGTTCTACAGACCCTTCTGCTACCTCTCCCCATCCCCCACCCTACTCCCACCTACTCTGGCCCCCATGGTTCTTAATCTAACTTGAGATGTGGATGGTTCCCCTTACAAATTCTAGCCAACCTTTAGACTATCTTCCCAGAAGAATGCACGTACCCCTAGCCATAAAATTGTGGGTACAAAGAAAGTACTCCTCGAGGCTCATGGGACAGAAGCCCCAGTTTTTTAGCAAGGTGGGTCACATCGCAGGGTCCTTTGATGGAGAGAGATTGGCGAGGCCCATATCCCCAGGTGTGATTCTGAGCGCAGCATTTCCAGGGGGCGCTAGTGGGGCCACGTGAAGGACCGGGTCAACGGTCAAACGAGGTTGGGGACTCTGGTTAAAGGATCTCCTCTCCCTTGGGGCTTCCTGCACTCGCGGGGAGACTGGTAGAGCACGCAGTGTTCCCCCCAGACAGACTCCTTCCAGGAACCGCGGAGGGAACCGCTGCTCCAGGCGACCAGGAAGGTGGATCTAAGCTGGACGGAAGGAGCAGCAGATGCTTCCCGCCCCGCCGGGTGCGGGGGCCCTTGCCTCCCTTACCTTCTGCCTCGGTCTGGTGGCTCCTGGCTGCCCACGATTGCCTGGGCGTGGCTTTCTCGGCGGGACACCTCCTTGAGCTCGGCTCCGCGGAAGCGCTCCAGGAAAGAGTCGGGCCTCTGGCCCTCGCGGTGTGAGTGCCTGGCGGCCCAGGCGCGCAGCGAGACGATGAGCCGCGACAGCCTGGATGGGCACAGACAGGCAGCGAGGGCGGAGCGGAAGGTGACGGGAGCCCCCTACCCCCACCCCCGAGGGCCGGGGCGGAGGCAGAGATGTGGGTCCAGGGGCCCCGGGCTCGGGTTTGCACCCCCACTCGTCCCAGCCTCTTCTTCCCTTCTTCTCTGCCACCTGCAGTCTGGGACACAGCTCCCTCCATAAGGGACACTGTCTTCATTATGGCTTGGTGCCTTTGACACCTGGACTCCATCAAAGGCATGAGCCTCCAGTGGGGCGTTAGCAAGCTTTCCCGCTCATCTTTCCTGTTGCCCCACGTGGAACTCTTTGTTATGACTGGTAAATACAGGAACAGCAAAAAAATAAAATTTCCAAATAGTGAGTCAATTCAGGGCCAGGTTTAAAGGAACAAGTACCCAGATACAACTTAGGATCTTTCCCTGGCCCTTGCCCTATGAATGGCTTCTTAGACAAACTCTTATTTTCCTCCCAGGCTTGTGCAGACATTCCTTTGCAATGTGCCCTGTCTTCTCTTCTGGAGCCTGACCCCACCTGGGGCCTCCAGCACCTAAGGCCAGCCAGCCACGTCCCCGGAGCTCGTCTTAGCTCCAGTTTCCATGAGAAACCTGCCTGCAGCCCTGTCTCCAGCCTCCTCGTCCCGGCCAAGGGGAACGGGAAGAGACTCAACTCTGTTTCTTGGTGTCTGGTTTCCCTGACTAGGCATCTGCCGTGTACACCACATCTTCAGTAAAATCAGTTCTGAGCTACCTGGCACGCAGTCATGAATTGTCACATACTTTGATCCCAATCACGCACTTGTGACCATAGCCTAAGGGAATAAGTTGAAGCAACGAAACATCCCAGGAACAGAGAAGCTTACAGCTGCTGTTGGAGACATATGTGGGTGCCTGTCCAGCCCTCCACCCGCGTCCTCCCTCTGCTGAGGGGGTGGGACCAAGGTCGGCCTCCTGGCTCCAGCCTCAGCCAGCAGGCTCAGAGGTGGACGACTGACCCAAAGCCTCAGAACTAAAAGCCACTCCAAGATGGGATTTGGTGTTTCAACTCAGGATCATATGGTGATGGCTGTTTTCAGCCTGTGGCTGCTGGTGTGTGAGCAGAGAAAGGCAGAATCGGAGCAGACAGGCAGGAAAAAGCACAAAGACCAGGAAACGCTGCCTCCCCAGCTCCTATCAGGAGCCCCACTGGCTCCATTTCCATGGGGTGGCCTGGATCTCAGCTTGTCCCAGCTCCTGCCCCAGCCCTACCCTTTTAATTTGAGCTGGTTTGAAGGCATTCTGTTCCTGGCAATCAACAAGCTTTAATACAGCATTTTAATAGTAAGACAAAAACACTGGACATCACTTAAATGCCCAGCTACGAGGGGCTAGTGAAATAAATAATCCTCTGCAGTGAAAAACATTAAGAACTAAATGAATTAATTTTTTTGCAATAATCTTAAGCAGAAACTGTAGAACACATGACTGTATGAAACTAGGGCTCTGGTAGGAAAATTGGTGGAGGGAAATACTGTGCCCCACATTTGCTGAGTGTTTATCATGAGTCAGTGGTGAGCTCTGATGCAGCCCTTGTGTTGTGAGATGAAAGGTGCAATGACTTCCTCCAGGTGGTGCAGCTACTGAAGCCAGAGGACAGATGTCATTAGAGGGAACACAGAACTCAGAGCCTAGTTAATCTTCCAAATGCTTTTGCAGGTATGCTGTGAAGTCTAGGTACGTATGCGTGAGGACCTGCCAAAGCCATGATTGTTGTCTGCGTGCCACTATGGGCCCCCAACAGCTTCCCACAGCTGGCTGGTCTTGTTTCTGAATTCTTTTCTGAAATTTCTCTGGTTGGCTTTTTTTTTTTTCTGAATTCTTTCAGGATTGAGCAAAGACCTCAAAATTACTTTTTATTAGAGAAATTTCAGGTAAAGGCAGTTTTTCTTAGACTTTTCTGAGCTCAGAACACCTGCCCAGGAGGAAATTACTCCCTGATAGATTTTTTTTTCAATGGAGGTACTGGGGATTGAACCCAGGACCTTGTGCCTGCACTCTACCACTGAGCTATAAACCCCCACACAAATGATAGATTTCTAACTGCTTTCTTCTCCAAACCCCACCCTCACCCCCCATTTCTTCCTAAGACGTATCTATCTTCTCTCTGCCCCAGTCTCCCCTTGCCCAAGCGAGGGCTGAAATGGGTCAGTTACCTGGCTGGCCCCTGGCTGGTGAAGGAGCTTCGCCTGGATTCAGCCAGTCCTCTGGTCTCCATGGTGATGCCTTCCTGCAGTTCTGACGACGTCTCCTCGCATGGCGAGTGGGTCCTAGGAAATCAAATATGCAGCAGGCAAAATTGATTTCAAGCTCGTCCACCTCCTGAACATGTTAAGGACTGAGACGGCCAGATGTCCTGCTTAAAGAGGAAAGCTGACGTCACGTGTCCTCACCCCAGGGCCCCTCACTTCAGTTCATACCCCAGCTGGATCCAGCAGATCCTGGCTTTTAGAATAAATGTGGCCTTTCCTTTATGGCAAGCCTGACCAAAGAGGCTGCTGCCCATGGGCGAGGTGAAAGGGGCAAGCCATAAGAAAGTGGTCCTTATTAGAGCTTCGGGAGGGGAGGTTCCGTGCCAGCATCTGGACCCAGAGCAGCCATTTCCATACAAAGATTCCATAACAAGGATTTTGGTTCAAACACATCTCTGCATGCTGAAATCCTCTCTTCTAAGGCCAAATCAAGTGCTACCTCCTTCAAGACGCCTCCCCTCCCCTCTCCTAATGTGTGTGCACCGCAGTCACATTAACTGGGCAGCCTTCCCAGGAACCTGCTGGTTACGAGGAGGGCCCTAGAATACGGTATGGAATTGGCATAGCTCTCCACGTGCACTGGTGCAGTGCTGGTGAATGAAAATCCACTGCCACTGTGTCCTTTTGCCGAGCTCTAACCTCTGACCCCTGCATTGCAGAGGTAACTGGGGGCGGGGACCTCACCTGTGCAGTTCAGGGCGCAGAGCATGAGCACGCCTAAGACAGGTGCCCACTGCTCAATCTGAGCATCAGCGGAGCCTGGCATTTGCTGAATTTCCTGCAATAAGACCTTTCTTTCCCTTTCTTTTAAAACCTCCTAGAGCTGAAGTTTGATCAGCCTGATTAAAGGCCATCCAGGCATTGGCCTCTGGGGATTTGTGCTTCATTCCATGAGCCTTGAAGAGCACAGGCAAGACAAATTAATTCTATCACGTGACCTCTTCCAACCTAATCAGTCTTCTTAACAAGGCGGCAACACGGCTGAAGAAGTAAGCAAGAATTAATGTCAGGGTAAAGGCTCACTCTCGGCCGTGAGTGATTAGAAGTCAGAATCCTGAATCCTAGCTGCCGTCTCCAGCGGCGGGGGGCTCACCCCCGAGCCGTGGCCGGTCCAGGCCGTCTCTGCACAGTCCTGACTGCTTCCAGGTTCTTCTCTCCCTCAGATTCCCCATATCAAGGATACTTTTTTTGTTTTTGCTTTTTTAAAAAAAAAAGATTCCAAGTTTTAATTAATTTCCATACCGATAAAAATAATTCCATGAATTCTATAAACCATTGTATAAATGCTATAGTGTAAAAAAATTTGAAATAAGTGTTAACAACTTTAAACAATTCACTACAATGATTATGCATTATAAATATTACCTGCTGGGTTAAGAAAATTCCATTCCAATAACATTCTCATCTAAATACTCAAAATGTACAACAAGGGGAACCACACGGAGTCACTACATCTTCTAAATGACAGCCTTCCACGATGGGCCGGCTCTCAGGCTGGCACTGCCTCTCATCCTCATCTTTCTCATCATCTTTGCTCGCCAGGCTCAAGTCTCTTCCCTGTCATGGTCATTCTTCAGTGAGCAGGTTCCTGTGCCCTTGCCTGACAGTGCCTAGAAACTGAGACCATCCTGCTGTCACTGGAGCCCACTGGTGCTTTTGGTGTTGCTGTCACCAACTGCCATCATCCAAAACCCAAAGTCTTTTAACATGCGCTGCTGCTAAGCCAGAAGGCCCTATCTTATGCAAGTAAAATTGATTTGTTGGAAGTAAGTACTGGACCTCCCCATTTATCTGAGTCATTTGAGGTATGGGGACCCTTGGTGTGCAGGGTCCTCCCAACTCTGTCTCATTTACAGGTGCCATACACAAACTATATGCCATTTATTGACTGCTTTCTGTATGTTAGCCACACACATGTTATCATTTAATCCACACAACAACCCTACTAGAGAGGAAACAGCTTCAGAGAGGTTAAGTAACTTCCTCAAGGTCACACAGCCAAGAGGCAAAGCTGAGATTTCAATGCCATTCCTTCCCATTTCAAACTTTGCTCTCACCTACTCCATGAATCTGCCTTCTGTGTTTTCATATATACCAATTAAAGCAAAAGTTGAACAGGACATGGCTGAGGACTGAGCCCTGTGGCATTCCACTAGAGACATGTCTGCACTATGTGGGCATGGCTTTGTGTTTCCAAACTGTCTAACTGAATTCTTCCTCTAGACCCGGAAGAGACCGCTCACACCTCATCCTTATACATATAAGAGATGCAGTCAGAAGCCCTGCTGCAGGTAAGAAGCTACGATTCCCTTGCCCTTCTACCAATACTCTGTGTACTACAGAGGTGCACTGCATGTTCCAAGGCATCTGGGTCTGTTACAGGGGAGGAGCAGGGAGGGGGACAAGTGAGTTCATCTCTCCTGTCCCTGGATCTTGGCAGCTGGCATGCTTAGGGGTGGAGAGTTGGAGGTGGGGGCCAGCAACTGACAGCTGGGCTGGGGCTCTGTCACAGCCTCTGTGCCCGGAAGATCTGGAGGCAACCCCCAGGATGGAGCTGCTCCGTTCCCACCAGCAGCTCCTCAGGGAGCTCTGGGCACCGAGCAGTCGGCCCAGCACTTCTGCCTAGTCTCCTTTCTGTTGATTATGTGAGGGCACATCCTGACACCAGATTTATTTGCATCAGCAGCAAAGGAATCAATGCCCATGACAGCGGGGCTTGTTGATGGGTGAGGAGGGCAGAACTCACTCAGAATTGCAAAGCACGTCTGCACTTGGCAGCAGGGGGAGCTATCAAGTGTGGACTGAGCCCATGACACGTGAAGGGGAGGCAGCATAGTAGGGAGCCTGGAGGCCTGGGTTCTCTGATCACCACCCGGCACCGATTAGCCAGGTATACTGTGGGCCGGCTACTGACCCTCCCCTCCCGAAGTTTATGTTTTCTGGTCTTCAGAAAGAAAAAAAAGGAAAAATTGGTGATTTCCTTTTGATTTAAGTATTGTTCAAACACCCAAGTCCAGAAAGGCACATTTAGCAGTGAAGAGTCAGGAGGGTCTTATATGAGGTAAGTTCAAGGGACCCAAGGGGTCTTTTCTTTGCGACGCATCTCCCCACTTGTTTCTTGATGGCTGACATTCTACCATGATGTCTTTCTTCTAACTCCAGAGTCTCCACCTTTGTTAAATGCCTGCGAGTATTTAAATAGCAAACCCAATTAGTGACTCCCCAGAGAAACTGATTTTACCAGGTAGATCGAAGAGGAGACAGAAGAGAGGAGAGGAACTGAATGTCTGAGGTGACACCTTGTGTTCCCAAGGACACACAGGTGCTGCTAAAACGGAAAAAAGTTTTGGCAATCAGTGCAAGAATGGGGATCTAGAACCTCCCAGGGAAATACAGAGGCAGGAGAGACTGGGGCCCAGGCCCTGTCCTGCCTGGAGCTGGCTGAGGACTTAACAGGCGTCGGTCTTTGTAAAACCAGCAGATGAGGCCAGGACAACCTGAAGTTGCCTCCAACCTGCAGGCTCAGGTTCTCAGTGGTGATGATGTATCTCGGCAGGGAGAAGCCCCATGAAGTTGGTGATTAGCAAGGACCAGGGCAGCTGGTGAAACACGATGAAGTGACTGTTTTGAAAGACAAGGTCATTTTCAACTTGTAAAGCTCATCTTCTACGTTTATTCATACAGAGGAATTACTGTCCATGAGGTCAAACTTTCCTCTGTCCCTGGGAGAGAGTAGAGGTTCTCAACAGAACGGGAACTGGTAATTAACTTTGTGCTCCGTGGAGCTGGTGTCTTCCTCCGGTGACTTTGGGGACGTGAGAGTAAACAGAAGTGACCTTTCAGAACAAGGGTGGAGAATACAATACCTTATTTCTCTGCTCCTCCTCCCAAGCCCTGAGGAACTAGACTGATCACAGGCACTGCCCTGGCCCCATGTGACTGAGGAACTCAAGTCGGTACATTTTTGTCTTTGGTTCTGGGCAAGCAGGTTGAAAATGGTTTTCTTTTGTGATAATTGCTTTGAGCTCTGCTCCGGGAGCAGCATGAAGAAGTCTCCTCGTCCATGGGACACAAACGCCTATGCCTCAAAGCTCACCTAAAAAAGCTACAGCAGGAGATTGATCTGGGGCTTGGGGTGCCCTGGTCCTAGCTGCAAGTCTCAGAATCAGATTCTAAAGTCTTTCTCTATTGCATTATCTTCAGAAATTATGCCAGACAGTTCTTAAGTAATTGAGTCAACTGAACAGCTCTAAAAAGAAAAAGCAAAATTCAAGACATTTTTCTTTCTGGTCTTTTCAAGGTATAAACTTAAATTTTTTGTTCAAATGAAACATTTTCATCCTTCCTTCTTTGCTAGAAAAATGACCCCAATAATTTGAAGAGAAACAGGAACCTGGGTCTCTAATTTGGTGTAAGACCTGGGAGCAGGGATGTCTCAGGGGATGAGGACACACTATCTCCCCCCACGTTTTGGGGCTCATCAAGGGCCACAGCTACACCCAGTTCCCAGCACAGCTGCCTGACATCATTGAGGATAAAGAGCGATTAATATTTAAGGACACACGTTTGCAATTGTTCCTCCCAAAATCTTTCTAAAAGGATTGGAATTTCAAGGCAAAGATCTATGAAGTGTTCAAACACCATTTCCTCCCCTAATATAGGGATCTGAAACTTAAAAAATTTTATGTGTATTTACCAGAGCCCTTTGCTCAAATAAATCTTACAGGGAAAACCAGTCTGTGAATAAACAGATGTTGGGTTTCTCTGGGAAGCAGGAGAGGGCCTTGGACCCAACCTCTGGGCCCAAGGCTGCTCCGCCCCCAAAATGAACTCATATTCTCAATCCTTGGTGATGCTAAGGAACCATTTTGGAAACTTCTGTCTGTTAACCCACTATTGCCTCCATGAGATAAACCCAACATCTCTCTTATGAAGGAAGCGTTTTTCCTCTCTTTCCTTTTGAAATCTCTGTGGTGTTTCCATGGGATTCTGTACTAATCTGTCAACAAGCATTTACCACATGTGTGGTTGGGCATGGCTCCAAGGTGGGCTCATTGAGACTGGGCTAGTGGTCACGCTGAGAAAGCATGACAAAGACGAAGGCAGGAAACGGCTGGGTCAAGGATCCCTTGAGTGCTACCCCTGTCTGTAGTCCTTGCTGTAGACATGCTGGGGTGAGCGTGGGGTCTTTACTTGGGGAGCTCTCCACCTAACCCTTGGCTGCTTTTTGATCTCAGAATGAACTCAGTAACCCTCGCTGGCCCAGAGGTCAAGGATTGGGGCAAAATGCCGGTTATTTAGCTGGCTTTTGTCGACCATAGGTTAGCTAGCAAACCCTGGGTGAATTACTGGACGGAATGGCAGCTCCAAGGCTGCCCTCCTGGCTGGCTTGCCGAAAATTTGCTGCTGAATTAACAATGGTTCCAGATGTCAGGACAGCTGAGGCTGTCTGAGCTCAGAGAAGGTGGAGAAGGCTTCCAGCCTGGGACACCAGAGAAGCAGCATCTCCAAGACTGGCAGTGAGCATGGATTAAGTGCTGACTACATGTCAGGGGCTGTGCCAAGAACTTTAATCCATTTTAACCTCATGGCTGCCCTCTGAGGTCCTCTACTAGTACACTTTGCAGATGAGGAAACTGAGGCTTGGAGCTGTGGAGCAGCTTTTTGGAGCCAGTTTTCAAACCCAGTGGTCTGACCTGTGCTGTTAGTCACCATGCTGGTCAGTGGCATGGGGATGGGAGGGGGAGGGGAAGACAGTTTCTCACCCATGAGATGGCAGAGAGCATCACTTCAGAGCCCCGGGCTATGTGGCTGACCTAGCCCCTGACCGTGCATAGACCCGGTGTGAGTCCACAGTGAGGTTCCTGGAAGCCAGAGGCTCTTCAACAGCCCACAAGTCCGACTGGCCTTGTAGGGCACTGGCTGAGGCAGAGCCAGGATGAGTCAGGCAGAGCTGGACCACGGTCACATTGGGTCAAGCAGGCATTCTGGGCAGGACCCCCAGCCCACCTTCTGGGCCTGCATTCTCCTGAATATCCCACTGGAGAGAGCCAGACTGAGACTCTACTATTACCTTCTGAGCCCCAGGGAGTCTGGGAGCTACAGGAGATGCTCTGGTTATGTCCTACTTGAGGCAAAAGGGGGCAATGGGGAAAAGTTCCATTTTTCTTCAATGCTTCCTGATTCCAACAGCCTCTGTCCTCCTCCCATTGTGCCCAGGACCCTAGGAACCTGACTTACCTGCTGTGTCCCCGGTTGGGGCCTTTTCTCCCCTCTACCACAACCCTCTTCAAGGGGGTTTATTAGCTCAGATGTGGGAAAGAAATATTAATGCATAAAAAAGTCTTAATAGCAGATGACTGTCCTAATACTGTTTTTTTTTCCTTTTAAATAAGGGGCAATACCTTAACTTAAGGGAATAGGTCCCCAGCTGTGGAACGCAGGTATTAACAATGGGCCAGTTAGAAGGGAGAGCTCTGAGTAGGGTGAGAATTTCTGGTGCCCTTCTGATGATATGAGTCATATCAAATTTCCTGGGGCCCCAGCACCAACTTAAAATAGTTGGCAGAAATAAATATCTGTTGGCATGCTTTGAGATCTTCCTTTCTTTGCCCGAATCCTAGGAGACGGGAGTCCAAAGACTACCTAAGTTTGCAACAGTAGGGACATTGTCATCCACCACTTATTAGCACAGTTTGCTAAAGAGCTGGGACAAAGACCCTAAACACAGAAAAAAAACCAAATGTGTACCTGAGAGAGGAAGTGAGTGAGAGAAATGATGGATGAGGATCCGGTGCCAGGGATGTGAGGGCTGAGGGACTGTCACTGCACTTTTGGCCACCCAGATAATACACAGTTTTCATAGGAGGGAGAAGTTTTCAGGGTTATATATGCAGAACAAAAATAACGTATATATTGGATATAAAGTTTCTCCTAGTCCAACTCAATCAACTCATTGAGAATTGAAAAAACATAAAAATGTGGGTTTTCCCAGGTCTCCGAGTAAGTTAGGAACAAGGTTAGAAGTAGAACACGAAGCCCCAGATTTCCAGGGGGCTGCCTGTGTCGGGATGTCACTGATGGGGCTGATGGCTTTGCTGGCAAGGCATGGCCCTCTCCCCACAGGCCCATGAGCACATTTGAAGTGAGAGACAGCACATCTGATTTAGACTCCATCTGCAGTGCCCAGGACAGTGGCCAGCACACAGACAGAGCCTGATAAACGTTTGATGTATACACGGGAAACGGTGTCAGTCTGGGGGCATTTTTATAGTAGAATTTAATCTGCTGCATTTGAATCTTCATTTTCTTGCCTTGTAGAAGTTATGTAACTTTTTGAGCCTCATTTCCCCACATCTCTAAAACGAGAATAAAAACTACTGCAGTGTGGGTTGTGAGGAGTAAGGGACATGAAAAGTAAAGTTAGGAGGAGTGCTGTGAATAGCTCCCGCCCTCCACCCTGTGGTTGGTCACAGGCTAAGGCATTCTTCCCGCCACGGCCTAGATCTGCTTTGGGAATAGCCTGTTCCAGGCATGAAATTAAAAGCCCATCGTACCTGCTGAGGCCGTTCTCAATGCAATTGAGATCTCTGTCCGTGGTCCTTACAGCGAGGTGGGTCCTGGAGGGCTGGGAGTATTGGGTGCTAATCTTGGCCATCTTCTTGCTTGGTCACGTTCAGCCCCAAGGTGGCTGCTGAAATATGAACACAAAGCATACATGTCATCAGGACGAGGGAGTAACTGCAAACGCAGCTCAAATGGGAGGGCTACTCCCCCAGGCAAGCCTGGGCACACATGCCCTCCTCCATTTTCTCTCACAGTTCCTGCCACACTGTTTTAGTTGGGTCTCTCCGGGCTCTTCTTTCCAGCCTGAAGCACAAACACGTTCTTTCATTCCTTTGGATATGCTGCACACTAAGAGCTGCTAAAGTTAAGTGCTGATCTCACAGATGAATGGCCAATTTGATATCTGATGTAAGAAAGCTAAAACCCTTATGATTTTCTTTGATGATGTAATGTCCCTCTTGACTCTGGTTTTCTTGTTTACTTTTTTATTTTATAACTTTGCAACGTTTTAGGAGCTCCCCAAATCCTATTTTAAAACAAAGCATAAAAAGTCAAAATAGTTGACATTAGAATCTATTGATTCATTAAGAGTTGCAAATTGGTGATATTCCATCATTCCTTCATCAGTCAGCTGAAATATTCTTTAGAAAGAAAATCTGACTTATTATTTTGCTGCTCAGTGGTACAGCTCATACAGAAAAGACAGGATAAACACTTAATTCTTTCTGCCTATTTACCAGCTTTTAAGCCATGACATCCTAAGTGATGCCCCAACCACTCAAGTGTCTTCACATCTCTTAGCCCCATAAACTCTAGGAGAACTCACAAATGAGATCATGAAATTACAATCAGTGATCCTGAGGCTCTGCTGAAAATGAAAACTCCCATCCAGGAAGGGCCCCCGCATGTGAAGCACTTGCATATCCATTACTCGTTAACCCTCAGGAACCCCAAGAGGTCACAGTGGTGCTGATTTTGCAGAAGAGGAAATGCAAGATAGGGTCTGTCTGACCCTGAAGCCGGTGTTGCAGTTTGTTTGGTTTATCACACCCACTGCAGGAGATTACAAGTGCACAAATATAATTTAAAATTTCAAGCATGGGAAGATGAGTCCTGCCAACGACCAGGGTGACCTTGAAGTGGATCCCAGGCTTGAGTGGTTTGTGAGCCTCTCGCAAACAATTGTGTTTTTAGGGCTTGACTGGGGAACTAAGAACATGCCATTTCAGACAATTCTCATTTTCTTTACAGCATCACTAAACCCAACATGTTTTCTTCCCACCAACATGCTTATTGTCCCAGGCATTGCACCTGGCCCTGAGGACTATGAAGTTGGAGATGGATCCTTGTCTTTGAAAGCACAAAATTTCTTGGGGAAACAGGTATGTAAACAGTGAGGGGAGGAAGGAAAAGTGCTGAAATAGAGACAGAGACATGATGGGGAGTAATGTGGGTGGCGGGGAGTAGTTCTGCCTCCGGGACCACTGAGGTCTAAAAGTACCCTCTATCTGCCCAAGAAAAATTCCAGAAGGATAGCTCAGGTCTTTGACCACAGAGAGTATGTCCAGTTGTGCCCATGAGGGAGGCAGGGAGCTAGGGAACTGAAGCTCAGATCTATTATCTAGAGACCTTCTTAAAGGTTTAAAATTAACCTGTTTAAAATTAACCTATAGTTGGCCTTAGGAAATACTTTTGCTTGGGTAATGGAAAAAGCTATTTGGTGGAAACACAAAGCCCTGACTTGATTTAATATATATAATCACATTGTTTGCGGGACCTGCTTGCTAAACCGTGTTTTTTGCAAAGTGCTTGCTCCACAGAGCAGAACGAGCTGGAGAAATGAGCACAAAAAGGGCAGCCAATGAAAAGAGGACAAGAAGCACCAAAGTAGACAGATAAAAGTACCCAGCTGTGACCCCAAAAGTGGGAGCTCTCCCATCAAGCCACCTGGGCTCGTGGCTTACAGTTCCCCCACTCGAGTGTCTTCTCCTTTTTTTGAGCAATAAAGCAGCCTCTCGCTTTGTCCCTTTGCCTCTGCCAAGAATTCTTTCTTAACTGGCAGGCAAGAACCCACACTTTTGGTGGGCTTTCTAATTTGGAGGGGTCTCTATCCGCTGACACTTAGAGTTGAGCTTCCAGGTTGATGAAGGGAAACGGAGGTCAGAATCCCCATTCTCCCTTTTCTGCAGAGTGGAGCCTAGGCAAACCCAAGGACATCACTGAACCAAGACAGGAAGGCTGGTCTGATCTAGGGGAGCTGTGCCTTATTTCCCAGGGCAGACTCTGAATGGCTGTGAGGCATGGACTCCATGGACTCTATGCCTTTTTATAGCACAAGCAAAGGGAAGCCTGCAGGTGCCAGCTGCAGACTCTCAATTCTTGCCTGAGAAGAGCTAACGTCTTCACCCCCCACCCCACCCCCGACAGGAAGAAATGTGGGTGAAACAGAATGCATTGAAATCATAACAAGGTTATCAATTATGTTACTCAACCACCAGACAGAGGCTTGTCTCCTGCCTAGAAAGTGTCTCGGTCTTCCGCACAGATGACACAGAATTAACAGGACTCTGGTTTCCTCTGCTTTAAGAGCAGTCAGTCTCTAGATGACTACTTTGCAATAAGATTCAGCTGCTCAGGGTGAGATTCCAAGAGGATGAAACTGCTCTCTAGATGTTGCTAGAGCTGGAGAACCCAGATTTCTGTAGCCAGCCCTACAGATGCTGCTCCCTAGAATTCCATCTGCATCCCCTACCTTCCAACACACACACACACACACACACACACACACACACACACACACACACACAGAGTCAACAAAGCCAGGCGAAGGACCTCCTTTCCTTCCCCAAGGACCTTGTTCACCAAGCTTAGCTGCAGGCACAGGGGGTAAAGTGTGTGTTAATTTTTTCCTTAATTAACTATTGGGATATGATTATAAAAGTAATCCACTGTCATTACAGGAAATAATAAGATGGTCATATCCAACTTTCAGCACTTGCCATGCAGGCACTGTGCTGAGGAATTCACTCTGGTTGCTTCATTTACTTCTCCGGACAAGACAACCCAAGGAGGCGGATATTATAACTACTAGCTCCCAATTTACACATGAAGGAACTGAGACTCAGAATGGTTAATGATTCCTTCAAAGTCACCCAGTGGCAGGACTGGGAAATAAAAGCCTGTTTGGGTTTCACCCCTACACTGCATTATTATGATACAAGATGGAGTGGTGCAGTTCCTCAAAGACGGACACAAGAAGTGCTCTGGGGGTCGGAAGAGGTCCAGGGTGTGGGCTGTGTGAGGAGGCAGTATCCTGGGGAGAGCTTTTGTTGGTACAAAACCAACTGCCCCGAATGGCACCATTCCAACTGCTCCCACATATGCCCTTCCTCCCCCGAGTCCTGTCCTGGTTAATGTCCCATGGATGCCGCCCAGAGCTAACAGATCACCTAGCAAAGACTTAGTATACTCCTCCCTCTCCCTCACTTCCTCGGCTCCATCATCACCAAGTCCTCTCCGTCGCACCACCAACTTTCTGTCTTCTCTGTTGCCACTCATCCATTCACTAGTTCAGAGATAGACTGAGCCCTAACCATGTGCCAGGACTGCCAGGCAGTGGGGGTGTAATAGTGAACAAGCCAGAGCAGCTCCTGGCCTCCTTGAGTTCTGCCTTCCTCTTTGTCCAGGCCCTTGCCCCCCTCCCTGGGGTTATTGAAACAACTCCCTTTGCTCATCTTTCATCTTTAGTCTCACCTCTGCAATTCATTCAAGGTCTGGCCCTTAAAAGGGGCTCAGTGAGTGTGGAACGAAAGAATGAATGAACCTCTTGCACTAACACCAGGGTCTTTCTAAAAGATAGTTCTAATCATGTCACTCAGAAATTTTCAGAGATTGCCTCTTTTCTCCAGCATGTGGTCTTAGCTTAACATTCAAGATTTTTTAAAAACCTGGATCATATTAGCCTAAGGGATGTTCCATTTAAACCAAATTACTCACCCTTTCCTCAAGGGTGAGATGAATTTTCTCTTCCCACCTATTGGTAGAGACTGCTCACCAAAGCCCTGTGCTGGCTGGATATCTCTGCCTCCCCTCCAGGCCAGCTGAGGGCTGAGTGACAGGCTCTGACCAGCAGACTCCCACAATGATGCAGGGTTCCCCAAAGCCTCAGAACCTCAGATATTGCATAAGCGATGGGCTAAGCCATCAGATGTTCCAAATCTATGTGTTACTATAGCAGGGCCTATCCTCTCCTGCGTAATACTCACATCTTTGCTTTTGCTAGTCCCCCTGCCTAGAGAGACATTTTCCCTCTTGCTTGCCAGTTGAAATTCCTTACTTCCAACTCCAGTATGGCCTCCCCGGGAGTCTGTCGCTTCCACCTCTCCCTACACTCCTGGCACTGTTATCACCTCTGTTTCAGCCCAGAGGGGAGGTCACCTCTACACCGTGATGTCCAGAGGCCAGGGACTATTTGTTTAATTAATTTTGTCTCCCACAGGGCTTCATCTAGTGATTTGTACTCAGGAGTAGTCAGCGTGCAGCTGACATGAATTAGGTCAGAAGGAAAATCATTCACCCCCAGCCTCAGTGTACACAATTGGGGGATAGAGATAAAAGCTTGACCCATTGCAACCTGGAGGCTGCAGTGATTGGCAGGCATTTGATAGGATTTCAGGTGAATAGGCAGCTAGGTAGTGTATATTTGTTTTGAGGGATAGGGTGGGGTCGGGTGAGGTTCGCAGACCTGGTCATTGCCATCCCTCCCTCACAACCACAGGAAACCCGCAGCCTGTGCAAGATCTGGGGGAGACAGTGAAGAGCTTCTATAGCTTCCAACTGTTTACCTCCTGGGTACCATGGCGACGGGAGATTGGTCTCCATGGAAACTCCATTATTAACCAGATGCAACTACTGCTGGCAGATAGTGAATGAGGACAGAAAAGGCATAAACCCAGGCACATCAAAGGGAAGAGGCACGCACAGTCCTGGCCAAAGTTCCAAATAAAGTGACTGAGATCTTGCACTGACCAGTCTGTCACCCAGAGAGCTGCTATTTACCCTCTCCTGGCATCTCACCCCGGACAAATGTCTGTTTATAGCCGAACAGAGGCTGAAGAGGAAAAATAGCGTGCATTTGGGGGTTCATATGAAGTAAGAGAAGTTCTTATCTTCCCTGCCACACCCCCTCCCCGCCAAAGGATTTCTCACTAATTCAGTGAAGTTCTTACTAGGTTCCCTGACCTGGCAGAATTTTCAAGAATCCAGGACTTTGGCATACACAAGACTTAGCTTGGAGAGTGGCTGTGAAGGGAGTGGTCACCTCCCTTCTCCCCGACCAACTTTCCTTTGCCCCCTCCAGTGATTTTTAACTTAAGGAGCCTGTGATCATATGCCCAGGCAACAATATCTTGCCCATTTTTATGAATGAAAGTGTGTGTGTGTGTTTGTGTGTGTGTGTGTGTGTGTGTGTGTGCAGGGTGGGGGGAGTGGTTTGGCAGACAGGTCCCTAGAGACAGGGGTCTAGGCTGACCACTCTGGGATAGAGCCACAACCCAGGTGGGGGGCCATTGCCCCAGAGTTTGAGGTACCAGGCACGATGCTGACCCCAGCTTTACAACTCTGGAAGATTTGGTGAGGAGCACCCAGCTGTCGCGTTTTCAGGAGAGGGGTTGCGCCCTCAGAACTACTCGCAGGGAGAGTCCCAAGCACGAGAATTGCATGTCCCCCGCACCCAGTCTACTGCCAAGGAGGCCCAGCCGCGGGCTCTGGGTTCTCTCTGCTCTTGTCCCCCTCATTCTCGGCCACATGTCGCCTTTAGTTAGAGATACCCTCTTCAGAATGACAAAGTTTAAAGTCTTTGCATAAAGTAAAGTAGGGAAATTGTGAATTGGGGAATTACAAGGAGAGAAAAATGAATCGGCCCTTCCCTCCCTCCAGTCACCCAGCCCTTGCACAAGATGGTCAGAGTGTGAGGGGCAGCTGGCTGAGCCCCCTTGGGGATTGGGAGTGGGGTTGGAGGCTGGGCTGGGGAGAAGAGCCTGAGAACAAGATAGAAAGCCCGTGTGAGTATCCGGTTAGAGGATTGCAAAGGATCAGAGGACCTCCGCCCCTTCTCCTCCCTCCTGAGCACTAAGCCCCTAAGGCCTGAGCAGCCAAGATCGAGGATTATGATTTTATCATTACAAAAAATAAATAAATGAAAGAGAGAGTGTTCGTTCTCCAAAAGAATTTTCATTCTTTGCCTCCTCCTCAGCTCACCTGTCTCTTTGGATCCTCAGGGCTGAGTAGGGTCAGGCCAAGACAGTCCCCCGACCCCCGTCCGCGCTCCCCTTAGCCCCCGCTCCCTCTAAGCCGCGAACACAACTTCCCCATGCGCAGCGCGTACTCTCGGAAACTCCGCGCAGGACCCCGATCTGGAGCCGAGTGAACGAGGCGGCTAGGAGCTTCTTCCCAGACGGGCAGCCGAGGAGGCGCGGGGCGCGGCCTCCGGGTACAAGGAATCTTGGGGAAGTGTCCCGGGGGTGTTGTCAGTCTGGACATCCTTTTGCTGAAGGAGCCCACCTACTTCTGCCTCCTGCCCCGACGGCTCAACCAGACTCGGCCCAGCGCGGCTGCGGGACGTGAGTAGAAGAGGGTGCGATGGACTCGGGAGGCACAGAGGACGGCTTCTAGTCCTTTGATACCGGCTGAAGGGGAGTGGGTGTGTGTGTGCCTGGGGTGGAAGCAGCTGCCGGAGTTGGCCCTTGGTTCTTCTGCCTATTTCCCTCTCGCAGAGAAGCGGCCCGTTTCAGCACCGGGGGCTGCGGACAGCGCCACGCCCGCCCTCAGGCCCCGCCACCCCACTCCCCAGCGCATACTTTTTAAATCCACCTCCAGGCTGGAGTCTGCGTCCCCAGCGCACCTCCCAGCGCCCCAAGAACAACCAGCTCAAGAGCCCCTAAAATCCTTACCCCACCAAAGTTTGAGCTCTTCGCGGCGCGCCTGTGTCTGGCAGAGCGTCTCCTCCTCGCTCCCTCCCGGTTCTGGGCAGCGGCTCTGGCCTCACTCCCTCCCACACGCTCCGGCCCCAGGACCCTCCTCTGCGGGCGGCGGAAGGAGCCGGTTGCCTCCCTCTCTCTGGGAAAGTCAGGTGAGGCTCTGGAGCCTCAAAGGCGGTCCCGGAAGAGGCAGAAGCCACTGACTCGTATCACCGTGCCTTCCAAGGGAAGAGGGGGCGAGCCAGGAGCAAGAAAGCAGGAAAGTCCATTTGTCAACTACGGACTCTCTCCTAGCTGGGAGCGGCTTCCTTGGACACTTCCCTGGGATGTTTTGCCCGTAGTGTAATCCATGCTACATGAGGACACAGC